CACTGTAGAGCGATGTGTAACATTCCACTTCTTCTATCTGTACGTTTCCTATGATAGCCGCAGGCTACTACAGGGTGCTGCGTAACAATATTTTGTGTATTATTTTATTTGAAATATTTTTTTGCAAATCCAACAATCCAATAAAAAACAAAAATTGTATCCTTAAATCAACAAAAACTGCGACCGATAATTGAACCTGGATCTTCCAGACGTATGGGATTAAAATGAAAAGTATAGATGCATAGCATACTGGCATAAAATACTGGGTCAAAACAACTTAAACATACGGACATTTAAAAAGAAAACAATGATTAAAAGTTGTCTATATTTAACAAAAAATGTATCTCGAAATTTCGAGTTAAACGCAGTAAGAAAGTATATATAAATGAACTTTTAAATGACGTTTAAATTATAACATTTCACAACCTAGCTTTATGCAATCCACGGCTGGCGAATATCTCGCATTGAACAAACAAACGGCTTTAAATGTATATTTATTAATTTACACATTTCTAAAGACACACCCTATATATCGAAAACCAAGATTTTTCGAGACGAATGTTTATATACTTACCTTTTATTTTCAGGCAACAATTAAAGAACACAATACCGCAAGAGTCTTGCGCAAAAGTCTTGGTCTTGCGTAAGTCTTGCACCACTTGGTCTTGGTCTTGCACACTCGGTCTTGGTCTTTGTTTTGTAGGCTTTCAGCTGGTCTTGCAAAAAAGCAAGACCAAGACCACTCTCGCTCATCACTAGCTGTCTTCATTTACTTCTTTTTCTTCTATTTCCTCTTCTTTATTTGTTTGTATTCTTTCATCCAACTTCTTCAATGCTATTATCCATAATATATTCGATTTTTCTAATTAAATTTGTGTTACCCTGTCGTAACTTTTTTAATTTCTTCCTTTATGTTGTCTGTCTAATTACTCATATTCTCATTCATATTCCTTTTCATATGTCTCATGTCCTCATTTTCATTTATTTTCCCATTAATTTGACTCAAATTATCATTTAGTTCCTCCCTCATTTGTCTCAAATTATCATTCAATTCCTCTCTTATTTGCTTCGTGTTCTCATTTATTTCAATGAGCACCTGCATTAAGTCTTTCATCATGACTCCTTTTTTCATCTTTTGAAATTCAGCAATATCCTTTATCTTTATATCTTCTTTTTGTTGATTTTCTTCTATAACTACCTCTTTAAACACGTTCTCATCCTGTACTACCCTATTATTCCAGTAACTGATGGGACCAACCTGTCATTAAGTCAGTCCAGATTTCCGTTGTGGCTCAACTCTTAGGTCTCGGCGATCGCTTCCAAGGTCGAAAACTTTTACCAACTATGCTGCGTCGGAAAGGGCCCAAAATGGACCCTAAAACTGGTTTCCCGCCAATATCTTCCACAATATGCAAATTAGAGAATTTTTGTTTAGATAAAAAATAAAGATCTTATTATTATCTACAAAAATGGTCCCCATTATTTTTGTCGGGAATTCGACAGGTTTCGAGATAACCGCAATCAAAAGTCCCCTCGTTCAGCCCCTGCTTTATCTCTATAGCAATGCTGATTAGCTTGTAAACGGGTGGACAAATTGTTTCAGAACTCGGTCAAAAATTGATATTTTTCGATGATTCAAAGTTCATTACAATGGGAAAACCCATAGGTATCGATCCATGTGCCTTGAAGCCCGTTATTTTCTGTCAAGAACATTGAAAAAGGGGTCAAAGTTGCGTTTTCCCACTATTTTGGACCACTTTATAGTAATTCATTCATATTTTTTTTTTAATAGTTTTTTATCCCATTTTTTTTAAATGGGATCTTGAGATGTCTTAAATGATCTTAGAAATTTTTTTCCAGTATCTTTCTGGCATAAAACAAAATTGATTTATTTATTTGCATTTTTCATACGATCTCGGAGTTCTAGAAATCTTTGAAACAAGTAGTAATTAAAAACTCATATTTCATTATATTGTTATTCAATGCACACCATTTTAAAGCTTAGAGGTCTACTTTTCGAATGTATTTTTTTTTTATAGTTGCTCCATTTTCCAGAAATCGGGAAAATTGATCACACCGGAGAAAACCGGACTTTTTTTAAATACTTCTCGTTCCCCGTTGTTTATTTTTTGAACATTAATACCCAGACCGAAGTGAAGCTGATATTCTCACCTTTTCCTTTTCATTTCTATCAATTGATCCCCGTATTTGAGCGTGGTTCTTAACTGTTTGTTAGAATTATCTCCCCAATTTTTACGCTCTCCGCCTGAGATCCATGATATTCCATCATAACCTAACCACGTGTATCTACGCGCCACACGCTCACCTTAATCGTCTGCTTTTGTTGGTATACAATCTCTGTTATTTTTGGAGTCGTTATTGTCGGTTGTTATATATTTCTTTCGTATATTAAAAGAAAATTTACGATTCTGGGTTTGAGTAGTACAATAATAAACAATTATTACTTTTCTTTTCTATATTTAACACAAATGAGTTAAAGTGGAATATATATCGAAGATTTGGGGTTGAGGTAAGTCTTTTGTTGCTATATCTATCATATAATTATTTCTACTAATGTTATTCTTTTTTTTTTTAGGTTAAAACAAACATAAAATAGAAAGCCCTTTAGATACAGAGCTTTTAGCGGCACTTCTAGAAGATTTGCTTTACGAAGGAAAAATTAATGAAATTAAGTGTAAAAGGATCCGCCCCCCCCCCCCCCCGGAACTCTTGAAGATGATTTTTTGTCAGTGCAAGACAGGCTGCGAGAAGAATTGTTCATGTTTGAAAGCCGGACTGAAATGCTCGCCTGTCTGTGGTTCGTGTCAGTCGACACAGTGTTTTAATTATAACAAAAATGAAGGTATTTTCCCGGAAGAATTAGAGATGGATCGAGACCCAGAAGGGGTTGAAGGGAAGGAGGATGAAATAGCTGTCGAGACAGCAACACAGGAGTTGGAAAAACAGGGGGAAGGGACGCGTGGAGGAGGGGAAGGAATAGAGCAAGAGCAAGACGATGAAGAGTATGATTCTGATGACATTGAATGGTTTAACGTATAATAAATTGTATGCATTGATATGTGTTTCGTATTTTCAACATGTTTTTTTTATAATAAAAGAAATTTTTCAGAAACTTTCTTATTTTTCTGAAACCCTGGACCTATATTGTTCCGATAGAAGTTGGCGAAAATTTTGCAAAAGACGCAGAAAATATAAAGGGTCTTCTCGGGTCAATATTCATCACACTCTAAAACTAGTAACCCACTATTAGGCAAAACGCCGTGATTTGAGACTGCCACATGAAAAAAATTTTTTTTTTCACTTTTCTATTAAATTTTGCAACGCAAATTACACACAACATTCGGCAATTTAGATGAGATACCCCAAGCGCTAATTTATAGAAAAAATCCCGCAGAATCCGCCAATAATTGTCGAAAGATCGATTGGTGCCCGGATTTCCATTCATAGGCCCCATAATTTAGTGAGCAGGGGTATGCCGCTGGCGCCATCTACAATTGGTCTCCAAAAACATGAAAATCAATGTATTCCCAACTCCCTCGAGCGGAAATTTAGTGAGAAACTAACATTTCTGTTCAGTGCAAAAATTCGGGCTTTTTCGAAGGCCGTTTTTGCAAAAAATATTCGTCTTGCGAAAAAAATGGTAGATTGTAATGGTAATGGTACAGACCATTTTTTGTAGATAATGATACGATCTTCATTTTTTATCTAAACAAAAATTGTCTAATTTGTATATTTTGGCAGATAATAGCGGGAAACCATTTTTTCGGACTTTAGGGGCCATTTTGAGCCCTTTCCGACCCAGCAGTGTTGGTAAAAGTTTTCGCCCTTGAAAGCAACCGTCAAGACCTAAGAATTGAGCCACAAAGGAAATCTGGACCGACTTAATGACAGCTTTGCATATTTTCAGGTCTTCAGTTACTGGACTATATCTTCATGTCCTATGATTTCCTCATGTTCTTTTGGCAACCCAACTATCTTTCCCCCTTTTAAATCCATTTTCGCTGTGTTTACAAATTTACACCAAAATAAGAAATTTTATACTATTGTTATTCTATCTATGTTCTATTACTTATGCTGATATATAATATTACAAACTCAAGTCTGAAATTGCACCCTGAATATTTAAATAACAGACACACACTGTTACCTTGCTACTGCACTAATACAACACTTCCTAATTCAGTACCTCAAAACAACAGTTCAAAACAAAAATATAAAACTTTTACTCAATTTGAATTCCAAATTTAAATTTTCCCTTAATTTTCAAGGCTTGACACCTGACCGCTAGTTACGCCCCACGTTGGGCGCCACTTGATATGGAATCCTTATGCTATCTCCGGTTCTAATTAGCATAAATCTCAATATTGGGGTGGGTTCAAACAAATTTAAAAGATATGGATTTAGTAAATAAATTTAGTAACAAAATTAAGCCATTTATTTGATTAGAAAAGTGGACATTGTATAGATAGCTTTGTAAAAATTAAATATCATCATCACCGTTATCATAGTCATCGCTTTTATCGTCATTGATAGCAATTAACACGTGGAGTTCCAATTGCGATTGAAACATTAAAGTACGGTAGTTTAAATAACGATACACTAAACACGGTGTACTATGCAGACACCTCTAAAATACACAGTTGCCAGCAAGAAATTTAGGCAACCAGTAATAGAAGTTTGTGATTAGTTTTTAAATTAATGTATCAACTGTGGGCTGGTATTTAATTTATTTTCCCCATTGGAAATATTTACGTTAACATTTTCCAATACGGCAAATATTAATGTGAAAATTTCCAATTGGGAAAATAAACACAAAACAATAGTTTGTGTGTATATGGTTTATTTTCCTTTTCAATCAACTTAATACAATAACTAAACTGAATACAGACGATTTTCTACTATAAATTGCAACATACTATAATTTTATTTATTTTTTTTACTTAATTGACATTGACTTTTAATACTTATCTTATTTGTAGTATTTCAGTGAATTGTCGCTTCTTAATGGAGACATTTATTTGGAGTTCGTTCCATCTGTATTGGCAGCCTCTGCAATAGCACTGGCTAGACATACATTAAATGAAGAACCATGGAATTCAGGTCTCGTTGAAACGACTGGATACGAATTAAAACAATTAGAAGCTGGTATAGAATTTTTAAATCAGATGTTTACTGCAGCACCCAGTTTACCTCAGCACGCCATCCAGGACAAGTACAAATCCAAAAAATGTATGCACGTATCTACACTAAAACCACGAGAACTTCCAATTAATTTTACTTAAATCTTTTAAGGGCTGTTTAAGTACAAGATCTTTTTATATAATATTTTACCGATTAGCGCTTATTTTCATTTTTTGAAAAAAATGTCATTGTTTTAAATATAATTTACATATTCTCCAACTGTAATATTTTAGTATTTTATAATTTATTTATGGTAGTTTTAGAAGTGTATGGCTATTTTACCAAATCATTTACTTTAATAATTGATGTTTAATTCAGTAAAAAACAATAACGTTGGCACTTTATTTTTTTGACCTTTCCATACACTTCTAAAACACCAAATTTCCATATTTTTTTTTTAATTGTTTTAACAAATAACAACTTGTGATGCAGTGTGTTTTGTACAGGTATATTTATTTTTAGTAATTTTATATAAGCATTTATTTGGTATGAATTAAGTTGTAATTGATATTTTAATTGTCTTGACGAAAAAATGTATTTTTTTTACTTTTATACCAAACTCTGATTTATTTCGTCTAAATATACAAAGCAAAACAATGGTTTAATTTTTTATTTTATTTCCTAATTTATGCGAATTTCGTATTGTAATATAATTTATTTCTATAAATTCCGCTATACATAGAAAAGACAACATTTTCCTAATTAAGAGGCTAGTTCACTTTGTGATGTCACGACAAACTGTCAAAATTTGATTTATTTTTGATCCAAGCCACGAAGTATAAATACCAGGCACACACCTAGATGACTATACAGCGCAAGAGATACATCCGACCAATGACATATATAGTTTAAATAGACTGCTTATCCATACGTAAATAAAACGATGAAAAGCGGGTCGAACTGGGAGATGTTTTCTCTTTGTCTAGTGCATGCAATGTTTGTGTTTTGTCTCAATTTTGAGTGCTCGTAAACAATCCTTTCACAGGACCGGTTTTAAAGAAAGTTTAGTCTAGTTGATATTTTGTTCTCATTGTCATTACTCAGTTGGACATTTTGTTGAATTGTTTATTTTATTTAGTTTTAATTATACTTATGTTCTGTTTTAAATTTTTTAATTATTTGAGTATAAAAACTTGTTTTGTTTTTAAATTTAAATGGTGAATTGCTCTATAAAGGGTTGTAAGACCAGCTACAGAAATATAAAAAGTAACATTTCATTTTTCACGCAAGTAAAATAAAAATATTTTTAAATCAGTCGACGTGTCGTGGGGGTACAATGTACAATGATTACAACTTGACAACATTGTTAGTTCAGAATCACTGAATTACACTCGGATCAGCTAAGAGGTTGTTATAACCTTGTGACATGTTCTTGAAAAATTAATTTGTCTACTGTATTTGAGAACTGGAATCGACGGTTCTATTTGAACCAAAACAAACCCTTAAAATTAGTATGAGGAATAAGTCACAAAGGACCAGGCACCTTTCTTATGGAAAAATGGCGTTCCGTCAAATTTTTTGAAACGTTGATATGTTGTAGAACTCGATGCTCTGACAAAAAGTGTCCATTGGCCCAAACCGATCCTATGACTAGTTTTCGAGGTACAGGGTGTTAAACTTCGAAAATGCCACTTTTTGGTAACCAGATTTCTCACAAAAGACCTATTTTATTCGCGTTTTTTGTAAAAAATATGATTTGTAGATTATTAGGCATTAACATTTTATAGTAAGTTACGGTAGAAATTGGTTAATTACAGGGTAGTTCGGAAATAAGTAACACGGTTTTTTTTTGAAAGTCTTTTTCTTTATGACAGCTTTAAAAGTACGTAAAAATATAATTCCACAATGCAAATATAGTTTAAGTAATTGCTTCTTGTTGATGAATCATATTTTATACAGGGTGACTCATAAATATGATTACAAAGGGTATTTATTCGTTTCAGCTTTAACGAGTCACCCTGTATAAACGATGAATCCTGATTTTGTTTATTAGATTAAATACATGTACAACCTGTCACCCTATGACATACAGGGTGTTAAACCGATTGCAGAAACTTTAAAAATTAGCAAAGTAGTTTTTTGTGCAACACCCTGTATTTTAAAAGTTTCTCCGTCAACTTTGTAAATTATTACATTTTTAAATTAAGAAAAGTTTATTAATTAACTGAGCAAAATTTTGTTGTAATTCTATGACCAGTTTTTCTAAAATATTAATCCAAAGTTACTATAGTTAAACGATTTTTTAATATATATTTTGCACATCATCAAATATAATTAAATACATTATTTAAGAATACTGGATGATGCTAATATATATGTGTATACAGACAGCATAAAATATGTATAGGAACAAAAAAAATATAGACAGAATTAGAGATTGAAGTATCAAAGGAATATTAAGGTTATGTGATGGTTCCTTGCAATAACAATTGGTGATAGATATATGAAAAAAATATATTCAAGGTTTATTTTTAAATAACACATGAAAATGTTAATAATTTAAAAGCAGGGTCTGCTATCAATTCATTTTTACGAGAACAGTAAAAAAACTAATAATGAAGTATCTATAAGGTGCAACAAAAATATATTTGACCTAATATTAGTTCAGAACCATTATCTAGATCTTCCTCAATTGTCCTATTTTTGATATTCTCAATATATTTAAACAAACGTGCAGATGGATGCTTAATATTTGCTTGATGTAGTAAAAGTCATGTAAATTGGCAGCATGATATTCTAGGATCGACTGGAGGCAAAACTTAAAAATTGACTTTAAATGACGGTTTCTTGCCTCCACTACCCATCTCGTACTTGAAATCAGACGTGATTAATTAGCAGCAATATTTGTGTACTGATTTTCGTTGTGATTTCGAAAAGAAAGAATGTGAACAATAAGTAAAAGATCATTAAAAAGAAGAACCGAATAACTAAAACCTCTATCAAGTTCTTATAATGTCATTTTGGAATTCTCTGCATAATACCTATTGGAATTCTCTGCGTAATATGCATCATTATTCTTTGAATTAAAAAAGAAAGGGCCATTATTTGTTAATATGTATACTTTTGGCGAGACGATTAGTTCAGGTTTAAATATGTTCTTTTTTATGTAAACAATAAGATTGTCGCAAAATTCGAAAATTACTAATTTTCTCAATTTTGTTATATGTGCAATTTATATAAAGAATAGCTTTAGGAAGATTTGGAATAGAAATATACAATTGATTGGCGAATGCAGTATATAGGGCAAAATTCTGGAATAATGATAATTTACCTAGTTATATAATTTTACTGGTCATTTTCTGAATGCAATAATTAAATATTATTTGTAAAAAGGTATGGGATATACCAAGCCTCAATTTAAAAAGAATTGTGAAAAGTTGTTTTTCTTTTGTCGAATTGATGTCGCGAAATAGATGTTAGTGTCTTAAGACGTTCCTTTAAGAAGCTGTTAACATCTTCCCAATTACTTTTTTTTTTTCGTGAATTAGCAACAGATCTCGGCGATTGTTTATGTAAGACAAAGAGCGATTTAGCATCGATGCTGCATTGTATAACCATCTGTACATCGTTCGTAAGATTTAATGACTCAATTAGTGACGTCGTAATAAATCAAATCGTCTCAAGTATAAACAATCGCCGAGTATTATAGCTGACAATAAGGCCTGTATATTTGATTTTGCTAAGTCTGTATACACATATACATATTAGCATCTTTATCTTTGTCGTATATAAGCAGGCAGGGTTAGGTTTGGCACATACCACTGCGGCTTCTTGGGTCTATTGTATTCTCCTGCTTTCCCCGTATTCAGGTACTATCGTTGGAATAGTCCTGTGCCTTTACTAAGTTTAACTAGGTTCTTTGGGCGTTTTTTCTGGTTTTAGACCGAAAAGAGTAAATAGCCGCCTAGCGGGAGCTTCGCATTCCAAGATAACATGATACGAGGTCTCTTCCTCTTCCATGCAGTCTACACGTGGTAGAATCATTGAGTAGTCCCATCACATGAAGGTGTTTTAGCAAGCAGTGCCCCGTTAGTAATCCCACGACGGTTAATATCTGAGGCCTTGCAAGCTGTAGTACCTCAGCGGTGGGTTTAGTCCCATTAACATGAAGCTAGCTGCTTCTGTGTCCTCTTATCTGTTGTCAGCGAATTTGGTGTTTAGTGAATATCCATCTGTTCACTACCTGTCGGGCAGAGGTTTTGCTTAGCCCAAATACAGGTTCTGGTCCTGTAAATGGTAGATCTGATTCCTCTTTGGGCGAGTACGTCAGCTTTTTCATTTCCTTGGATACCTTGGTGTCCCGGTACCCACGCTAGTTTTAGATTATTGCGGGTTGCAAGATTATTAAGTATTCCAAGGCAGTTCCAGACCAGCAAAATAGATATTAAAAAATCGTTTAATTATAGTAAGTTTGGATTAATATTTTCAAAAAACTGGTCATAGAATTAAAACAAAATTTTGCTCAGTTAAATACTGAACTTTTCTTAATTTAAAAATGTATTAATTTACAAAGTTGACGGAGAAACTTTTAAAATACAGGGTGTTGCACAAAAAACTACTTTGCCAATTTTTAAAGTTTCTGCAATCGGTTTAACACCATGTATGACATAGGGTGACAGGTCGTACATGTACTTAATGTAATAAAGAAAATTCAGGATACATCGTTTATACAGGGTGACTCGTTAAAGCTGAAAAACAATATATACTCTCTGTAATCATATTTATGAGTCACCCTGTATAAAATGGGATTTATCAACCAGAAGCAATTACTTGCACTATATTTGCATTGTGAAATTATATTTTTTCGTTCATTTAACGCTGTCATAAAAAAAAAAGATTTAAGAAAAAAACTGTATTACTTATTTCCGAACTACCCTGTAATTAACCAGATTCCACAGTAACTTACTTTAAAAAATTAATGGTAAATAATCTATAAATCATGTTTTCTACAAAAAGCGCGAATAAAATAGGTCATTTATGAGAAATCTGGTTACAAAAAAGTGGCATTTTTGAAGTTTAACATCCTGTAATTCGAAAACTAGTCATAGGATCGGTTTGGGCCAATGGACACTTTTTGTCAGAGCATCGAGTTCTACAACATATCAACGTTTTAGAAAATTTGACGGAAAGCCATTTTTCCATAAGAAAGGTGCCTGGTCCTTTCTATAGGTATACACTTGGATGGATTTTACTTGCAGTAAATGCCCAATTAAATAAATACATGAAGAATTTCTAAGAATACTGAAGTGGCATGTCACGACGCTTTTGTCAAAAATAAGGGTAGATTAGATATTATATTTAAAAGGAGTTTGACATTATTTGTTCCGTGCCCACCCGACCTTTTCAGATCTATTAGGCATTCCAACGACCTGTCCAAATGGCTACCAGTGGGTAATGACAGTTTAGATATTGCAACCCTGTTGTCATGTTGTCATTAACAGGGTCAATGATACATATATGGTACATATAGATTGCTCAAAGCTGGTCGTTTACGAGCGGCCATATTGCCTGGCAAATATTTATTAATTTGAATCGGTTTAGCAAAAATGTGTTTTAAAGCCTATTTTTAGCCTTTAGATATTTAAAAAAA